ACCTCATTGTTTTTCCTCTCTGTCTCCTTTATGGAATTAGCTTCGGGATGTCTTAAACAAACAGAAAGTTATGATCCTCTCTAGGTTGCTACTCTTTATAATGTTTATGTATGTCCTTCAGCACTTATTACAGGACCTTCTTTTTATGGAAATCATATGAATCATCAGGGAATTATTGTTAGTTGGGAACGAGGGTTGTGCTCTTGAAACACTACTTCTTTGAGCTTGGATATTCTTATTTTTAGGAGGTGACTTTTTCAATTCCCTCGACATGTTTATTGACTCATTCTCATGGGCTGTCTACCAGCATAGCCTTATTGAGCCCAATTCTCTGTGGCCAAGCTATCAATTGTTGCTACGTAGTGGCTTATTTTTGCTGTTACCTAGTAGGCTTTAGGTTTTCTCCTTGTGATCTGTGGCAAATTTTCCATTCTCTCTCCAGACATCCAAACCCTAAGAGAAGTTATTTTGTGGATAAGCTGGGTGTTATTTTTCTCCAAACCAAAACATCATGGCTGTCAGTCCGTTGTGATTGTTGTGTCTTGAACTTTCTGCCTCCTTCCAGGTTATTTGCATCTAGGTCGGTATTGAATGACCATTTTCATCCTTTGTACGCTGCACTTCACTTCCTATTTTGTCCATGATCTCCACCTTGATTTTTTTTTCTCCTGAAGCATTCATTAGGATACCCTCACTTATCACATTTCTTGCATATTATAATGATTACCAAATTGTATTGCATCATTCAAGTTCAATATCAATAATGCACCATGTGTAGTATAGATTTAAGCTTGAAAGACCCATATTCAATCAGCATATTGCTTGTTCATGCCAATTGAGACAATCTTAATGGTATTAATTGGTCCACCCTAGTATTCTGTATATATGGTACAAATCTTCCTTGTGTATGGACTTCCTATATTGTCAGTTATGAGCATAGAGTCTTAGTTGGTATAGTTTTATACTTTTATTACTCATCCTTCCTGAGCAGCGCACTCTTTTAGTGGATACCCCACCACATATGCCTTAGTAAGAAACTTAGGATCATAAGAAACTTAGGATCATTCCATCCACCTCAACTGTTTCATTTCAGTTGAACTCATCATTTGGACCACTTGCTTCTTACTTTCCCAGCCTTTTATAAACCTTTTTGATCTTATTTTCTTGGAAAAATTTCCCCTCAACCTCATCGATATCCACTACCACATTGTTCTCTAGAAGCAATTGTCTGTTTTAACATCCTACTTCACTGTGATAAATATCATACTCCATGGTACAACCATCACTTTGATCCTAAGTAACTAAAAAGATTACTTGTAGGCATTTTTGGTTATCGCTTTGAGGAATTGCTTCTCTGTTCTTATGATTTTTCTGATGCTTTAGATCATACTAGAACTAATGCATTGATATTAAACAGCGAAAGGAAGTGTAGATTGAGGACAAGATGGAGGGAATTGTTAGGATGCCTAGATGTTTGAGATGGCACTTGTTTGGAGTGACAAGTGTACAGTTGCAGGAGCTGATACGCTTAGGACAAAACTTAAACATGGATTCAGGGAGTCAAAAGGTTATGGTTCTTACTAATTTGTTCAGAATTTGAAACCTGGCCGAACAAGGCTTCATGTAACAGACCCTGAAAATTTGTGAGATGAAAGGCTTTATTATTCTTTGTTATATCATCTTTATTGAGGTAGTGAAAAGTTTGGTTTCCTTTGATGTGAATTTGCTAATGCGGATTCAATATAGATCTATTTAGCTCTAATCATGGACCAGTGACTCCTGATGAGTCTTAGAGTTTAACCTATCCAACTGACTAAGGTCTTCACATCTAACTTGAATTTTCACACCCATTTATGTAATTAATCACTTTAAAAGGTTTGCTGAAATACATGCTTTCTAATGTCTGTTTGTTGGATCAGGTGGTTGGTCGCCTTGACAACAGTGCAATTTCTGCAACGGGTGCAAAACTAGCATTCAAGTCTAACCAAGATATCGCCGTGGAGGTAGCCACTATTCCACTTGACGAAGTCATTCCAAAGAATGAACGCGTGCTCTTAATCAAAATCGATGTCCAAGGTTGGGAATCCCATGTGCTAAGAGGCGCCAAAAAATTACTCTCAAGGAAAGCAGGTGAAGCCCCCTATCTTATATACGAGGAAGATGAACGACTATTGCAAGCTAGCAACAGCAGTACCGAGGACATCCGGAAGTTTCTTGGCACTGTCGGTTATCATCTTTGTACCAAGCATGGCACCGATGCTCACTGTACGAAGGATTCATGATCAGATGCTATTCCTAAGCTGAAGACCTTGGCAGAATTGGCACCAGGGAGGATGACAATGTATCAGAAAAAATGGTATCCACGGTCTTAGTTGTGAAATTATGATGTATCATATTATGATATGATTTGGTTCAATTCTTTCATTCACTGGCCTTAAATGGAAGTTGGTGTTTGCTTGGGATACGTTACTCCCTGGAGGTCCAAAGATTGTAGACTTAATTCTTGCTCGGTGTCTCTAAATGCTTATTTCCCACAGGTGATGAGCTCTGTCAAAAGAAAATGCAGATGAGACTGTACATTGGCGATAAATTGATTCTGCTGCAGTATATAACTGATTGCAACTTTTTCTACTGCAATGAGTGTTGTTGAGTGGTGACATTTGTCTCGAAGATTTTCGGTGGATGACTGATGCTTTTCTGCAGAAAAAAGGGGAAAAGCTCAATGTCTCAGCGGAACTTAATCCTGCGAATGACCTTAAAGGCTTTGTTTGGCTAAAGTTATTTTAAGGCATGGTTTTTGTGAATTTCTGCGAGCGGTTATGTTTCATCGCGAGTCAGTTACCCCAGCACATATTATTGGTGATTTAATATGCAACAGCACTAGCATATTTATGAATTTTCCATCATTCATGATAACTGATAACTAGCATATTTATGAATTGTCCATCATTCATGATAACTGATAACTAGGCTATACTTTTTTTCGAAGGAATCAGAAAAGATTGCACTACACGGCGTACGAATATTCTTTGGATCATCCAAAGCACCTGAGAAGGTATATTTATATTTGTAAGTAAATTGAGCTAAAATGTGAGCGCAATTATTGCCCGAATGACGAACGTGTCGAACATAAGACGAAACAAAATTCTTAAAGAGAGCCCAACATTCGCAAAAAAAAACATGAGAGATTCAGAGGATAGGCAATAACACTGTGAAGGATGAGCACGATATTGCGGCAATCTAATTCGAGCATTACCAATTGACCACACTTTTGAAACAGCTTTCAAATTCTTACACCCAAAGATTATGTGACTCTTGATGGCTCATCAATTGTAATTGTAACCCAAATGGAAGGACACCACATGAAAATTATATTTTTGTGATAATTATCCTTATCGCACAATCTGGTAGACTTTCATTGCAATTGTTTGTCAACAATTTGTATATATCATTGTCACTGGATGTTAGTTACTTGACCTAAAATTAACGCCTATAGTGTTTTATGTATTTATTTATTATTTTCCCCTCCCCAATTTCAAGCTGGAGGAGCGTCTTTCTCATGAAAGTGGGGTGGGGGGTGGGAAGAAAAAGAAATAAAAAAATTATTTCCTTTTCCATCAAAACTGATCGGTCCAGCTGAACCCGCAATCAACTGAGTCGGATAACCATGCATCACCCAACTATCCAGTTCCAGCAAATAAACCCAAAACCAAATCCAGCTCACAGCTCACTCACCCCCCTCTCTTATTCTAGAGATCATGTTAGCTAAAATGATCCAAAATCACAAACTAACTAAATCTAGCTCGACAGAGCAGGAGATGGGCTACAAAGTAAATTAGGGAAAGGTCCAGTGAGCGCGACAGAGCAACCCATACCCTTGTACCAAAAGTCCGGCCTTGGAGAAAACAGAAAGCCTCCGAATCTTTCAAAAAGCCCAGAATTTAAATTTGCAAACCCTTTTCACTCAAAGATTCGGAGCTTCACAGGTAAGTCTTGATCTAATTTTTTTTCCCCTTCTAATTTCATTCTTTGCAAAATAGATCAATTCATGGAGTTAGATGAAATGGGTTTTGTTTGGTTTCTTTGTTTGCTTGGTTTCTCGAAAAATGACGTAAATGTTGCTAGATTGATGGAGCTAGGTTTTATTGGGTTAATTTTTATAGGGAAGTTTTTTTGATAGGGTTCTTGATGGTGTTGGTTAAAGAAGGGGTTTTTTTTAGTTGTCTTGGGTCATAGAAGTTTGATATTTTATTCTCATTGTAGGTTTTCATGATAATATGGAGATTTATCTTTCGATTCGATAAATTTGTATTGTACCCATAATAATTTAGGAAAAAGTAAATGACCCCTTTTTTCGATGAGCACTGGTTGGGTTGCTTACCTGGATTTTTTTTTTTTTTTTTTGGCCCCCAAGTAGGATCAATGTAGCTCTTTATATCAAGCATTTTTGTCATCACTCTCTGTCATATTGGGCTTTGGTGCCTTTCCTCAACTAAGGAACCAAAATGTAGGTTGTTTATCTAACCTTTGTCGAGAATTTGAGAAAACTTTGAACTACTTTGCTTGTGCTACGTTATTTCTCGGCCGTGTCGTATGTACATGATTATGGAGAGCCTGGCCATAAATAGTTCTCTAACTTCTTGATATATATTCATTTTTTAAAAATCTGCTAGATTGATATCAAGGCAAAAGAAGGTAATTGCTAGTTGGCTTTAATAGTACATTGTTCAACTGATTCGACAGTGTGTAAGTTGGAACTTCGGTGTATTTGGATACTCGGATTTATCCTTGAATGCCTATTTTTGGTTGTAAATTTATCATCTTCCTGTTATTCCAGATGATTTCTTATTCTAGGAAATTTTTGGAAGGTTACACCTTTGTCGCACAAGCTAGAACTGCATGGGATATGGCCTATATAAGCTAGGCTCTTCGACAAGTCGATTGATTTTCTATGACTTATGGAGAACTTCTTTTTTTGTCCATAGTTTCATAGATGGGAATTTGGTGCCAATTTTGTACGGTTTACGATACGCTGTATAATTTTTCTCTAGAGCCTAGTGTTCCATACATGATCCCATATGATACTCAAAAGCTTAGTCAAGATGATAATGGTGGTGGTGGTGTGGTGGGAAGCAAGCACATGACCATGATACATGTTTATTGACAAATTGAATTACTCTTAATCGGTCTGTTTTCTTATTCTAATTACTAGATTGCTTGCATGGACTTGCACTTGAATAAAGTAGAAGTTAATTAAAATCTACATGTATTAAATCACTTAAGATATAGTAAGAAAATTAACGAGGCTTATCATTAATTTCTCATACTTTGACACGGTTGATATGTAATCACTCTGTATGATAAACAGAATTGTGAATATATTATTTTTAGTAATTTGCTATAGATTAGACGTAAGAGTTTTGTATTGAACGGGACTCAAAACTATTACTTCTTTAACGCAACAAATGTATACTGATCACAGATGTTTCGTATACCGTTTTCTGTTCTTTATGTCTAATATCTTTCATTGCCCCTCTTCCTTTCTTCCTTTCACAACTCTATTTCCTCTAGTCTCTTAGGATGATTTGTGGGTTCAAGAGGTAGTGAGTGAAAGAAAATTAGCCAAGGGAAGAAGTTTTTCTCCACTGTTCGGTTGCAATTGAATCTGGACAAGAAACGCAAAGCAAGAGAAAGTCAAAGAAACTATGGCCTTCGATTTTATTTGCTTTGTCATTTTTGAACCTAGTAGAAGAGAGAATGGTAAATCGCAACTAGAATGTTTGCAGACTTTCAAGCTCGCAGAATAATTGTTCAAGATTTCTGTCATCAGTCTAGAATTCTGTACTTTTCTTTCCCAGGAGTGCAGAGTAGTGAAAACATTTATCTTATATTTTCTTTTTCTTTCCCTTATTCCTGTTTTCTTTTAAATATTAACTTTTCTTGTGACCAAGTTAGCCTGGCTGTTCTTGGTTTCATATAGAGATGAATGAGAAAAGAGGGAAGAAAGTGATAATTGTTGCATATTCAACATTTTATTATGGCTGTAAGGGAAAAGTGTGTCCTTTACTTGTTGAAAAATGGGGAAATAGTTTTTCGGCCTTCAATGAGTTATTTTTGGAAAAAAGAGCAAATTCACCGTTCTTCTTGGTGTACTCTTAGGCAGTTAGCTACAACCAGACACAGATGACGAAGCTCTAACAGAAACCTGTTGAACAATATAGTTCTTCAAGATTGCACTTCCATCTTGATTTAATTTAGAAGTTCATATCTGTTACTGATTTCTATTCATATTCTTATTCCTAATTTTGTTTAGTATCTTAACAGGGTTCCTCCAAAGGATTCATCACAACCGAAACCATATTCAGCTCACGATGCTGTGACAATTTACACTGGTTTTTGTCAGCTACAACACGCAATAAAAGCTTTCTCTTGTTGCTAAACTATAAAGGTCATGACTCAAACTCCTGATATCCCTAAAGAAAATGGAGATCAGATCAAGATTGGAACTACCGGCAAAGTTGGTTCTCTAATGTCTAAGGAGTTGGAGTGCATCAAAAATTCACCTCAGGCTTCTTATTCCCCTCGAAAGAAACTTCAGGGTCCCCCAGTGTCAGTCCCTTGTGGCTATTCTCCACGGAGATCTCAGCAGAGGAAAAATCAACCCAATGATCCTAGCAGCAGCAGGAGCAGTAATTGCAGCAACACTGATAGCCAAAGCTCTGCAGATGACCAGAAGACCAAGACCAAGCCTCGTAGAAACGAGCACGGATCCCTGATGCTAGCCTCCACGGAAACTACCCTAGAGAAAAACCCAGGCAAAGAGAAACTGGAGAAGAAGAAGAAGAAAGGACACACTCACATTGTGGAAGTTGTGGATCTCAAGTGCAACAATCCCATGAGCAGCCGGCTTAAGAAGCTGGGCTTTTCTAAACTCTCTGAATCGACCATTTAATCTTCCCGGGGCAGTTTTTTGCCTTCTGTCCTCAGGTTTTTGTACCCGGTTTCTGTGATATTCACAGCTGAACAAATGCTCGGTATAAAGCTACTGCTGCTGCTAACGCCGTTGCTTACTGTTTTCTTCTTCTTCTTCTTTGGGGTTACTGGTAAACTAGAGGTTGTTTTTGGTTTGGGTTTGTGCTTGGGCTTGGATGGTCCACTGCTAGATGCCACACCATTATGATCGAACTCGAGCCTTCTCAAGTATTCAATCTCTTGGGAGACAAGGGAGGCGATGGTACCTTTAGTACCGATTTCAACCTGAGATGGCGGTGGACCTGCCATTTTTTTGATTGAGGGAGAAGATGCTGGTGGTGTTTGGTTTTATGGTGGAGGGTTTGGTTTTATGGCGGAGGGTTGAAGTAGCTTTAGGGAGTGGCTTCGGTTGTTGATGATTATTGCTTCTTTTTGTGCATGAAAGCGTGGTGGGCAGTTGGTGGTGCTTCTTTTTTTTCTTCCCCCCTTCTTTTTAGGATGATTGTTGATGGTGGTAGAAAAGAATAGGTAGGCTCATCTTTTTGTGCCTTCAGCCTTGGTGGTGTTATGGGTTATTGGTTCAACCTAGCTATTCGTGTTTGAACTCTTGTATTTTATCTTGTGATGATTCTTGAACATCTTATTTAGCAAGGTAGCCTATCAATCAAGTAGTGTGTAGATGACAATTGTGCTAATAATTAAATTATATTCTTAATTCTCATCGTAACTTGATATTGAAGCAGCTTTGCTCAAATCTCGCGGGTCATGTATTTAAAAAATTTATATGGTTGTGTGAATCTGAGTTTTGGCCCATGAAAAGGGACATGTCGTAATGTTTAACACCACAATTTAGAAGTTTTGGCCTTAGAACTGGGTTTGTTTTGGTCCGTCGTCAAGTTCGGAACTAAACAGGTTTAGATCAAAACTTGTTCGGCGGCGGAGTTTGGGGGTGGCCAAACTAATCCTAACAATTGCAATCATTATTTCTTGTTTCATTGCTTTAAGAATACTTGTGAATCCACTTATTGAAGCTTAAAGCTTATGTAAACTTGAAAGGCGGCAGCAGCTAAAGAGTTTGGTGGTTGATGGAAAGCAGAGAGTGGTTATTTTACCAGGATCATCAGCTTCCTAAACTGAACCTTGGAGATTAATCTTAAGGCATCGTCAATCATAATTGTGGAGAGAAACCGGAGTGGGTGAATGAATCTGTCCAACTTTAATTAGGACAGGTTTCGTTTTGGGTCTTTGCGGTTGTATGATATCGTTTGAAAAGGACCGGAGGGGCCTTCAGGACTTTCCCATGATATCTTCGCAAATTTTTTATCTTTTTTATTTCTTATTTTAATTATTTATTTATTTATTATTATTGTTAGGGAAAACTGCTTGTAGCAACCTCAAAGAATAGTCCCAACAAAAAGTGACATGCTTCTCCACCCTTACATTGATAAGTTTGTGCAACTACCAAGCAAGTAGTGTTTTAACCCACTAAGAAACTTTCCAAAATACCCTTCCCAGTTAAATCAGAAACTAAAATCATTTTTTTCTTCGCGTTTCTCGAGATCACATGCCACCAATATCCTCCTAGAGGGGTGTTTGTTTCAAATCCTATAATTCTAGGATATGAATTTAAAATCCATAGGTGTTTTGTTATGGTTTGGGATTTCTAAAATTTTGTTTGTTTTATTAATATTATAGGATTTGGAATACTACAATTTGTAGTATTTTGTTTGTTTCAAGCTCAAATTATAGCATTACCAAATGCCAAAATTTTGTAATATAATGAATATGTTATCTTAGTGAGGTTACCTCCCATAAAAAGATAAAATTGAGATTCGTTAAATCATCTCCAATTGAGAGGTAAGCACACACATTTATGAGAGTTGTCAAAATCCTTTCCAATTGAGAGAATTTTTTAAAACTTGAGCACTTTTTGCACTTTTTGCACTTTCAGGATTCAATATTCTAAAATATTTCTTAAAACAAACACCATATATGGAATCACAAAATAAAAAAAAAAATATTTTTTAATCTCAAAACTTGTAATCCATACCACATGCCGAATTTTTTTTTTTAAACAAAACCCCCCCTACCCTCTTCTTCTCAAGATCCCCCACAGAGATCCCAACTCTTTGAGATTTTCCCCCTTTCTTGTTCTTTCTAAACTCGAAATTACCCAACCCCTAACCCTAATATCTTAAGACCATAATCCCTCTTCTTCTCAAAGATCAACTGGATCAAATCCTCAATTCTAAACCCATTATAGAACATCGGTTTTTGGATAAAATCTACCCTAATCCGTGGCGAAATCAAGCTCGCCATCTGAATCAGCAACGGGGAAGGATGACTTGTGAGTATCAACTTACTATTTTTTTTTTAAGTGTATACGTTTCCTCCCCTGTTCTTTTGACTTCAGAGCCTGCACGTGTTATTTGTGGTGGGCGAAGTTGCAGCGGTTTGTTCAGTACAGAACAATTTAACTGGGCGACACAGGGTACAAAACTTCAATTTTTTTTTGGTTAATTTGCTTTTGTCGTTGTGTGTTGAGTGCGTTTAGGGGTATAATCAAGCAGAATCATTTATTTTGCATGGTGCTCTTTACTTCAACGAGGACAAGTTCTTCCAATCTCAATTTTAATCTTCTTTGGGTCTCATAATTAATGATGCACAAGCAATTTCCCCCTTTTTTTTAATTGTTTTAGAGAAGAGCTTGATTTGTTCGCATATGCAAGTACTTTGCAGTAAATTGAGTAAAGCTTAAATCTTGATTGGATTGCATTACTGCACGGCATATAGAATGTTATTTTTTTTTGTAAATAAATTGCAAGTTGTTATCGATTTAAGATTTAGTGTTTATTTGTAATTTTCTTACCGACTGCAAGCTGCAATTGCATATCCAGTAGTTATTTATTTGCAATATTCTCTGCAATTAAATTATTATCTAAGATGAAAATCTCTAACTGTTCTTAATTATTATTTAAGATTTAGTAATTATTTTTAAGTATGTTCCTACGTTTCTTTGTGTTCTTGACTCTTAATTATGCATGTTATTTTTGTGTTTTGCAGCAAGGGTGATTGTGATGTATCTAGAGATAGAAGAATATGCGTGAACGTACGAGGGTATTATGAATTTATGGAAAAAAAACATATGAGGCCTAAACATAGGAATGCTTATGGATCTTCTAATTCAAAAACTTTATCAGAGTTGGAGCAATTGTATCGAACCGAGCAACAATTCTACTACTCATTCATCACTTTGATTTGGCTAATGGAAAATTCCTTTTCAAGGATAGTCAAACAGGGGGAAAAAACAAGCATATACATTTCATGTGAAATAGGTGCAAAAGCAAACTAGATTCAAGGATGAAAGGGAGAAACCCGAACCTAATCGCGACACAACTAATAGGATTTGGAGTACCTACTTCAACAAGTAGCAATAGAATGATTACAAAAGTGGTTGAGAATATCTTGAACATTTATTTGATAAACTAGTTGGGTCAAAGAAAAAATCTGATATGCATGATTTGGTGATGCTCCAAATACTTTGCCAACTTACAATGATAACGACTCCAACTGCAAGAATGAACATACCAGGACATATATTCAAGTATTTGACTAGTATAGATATAATAGATAATTTTTCATTGGAAACTATAATATACAATGAAATGTGGGATTCACTAAGTAACATATGATATTTACTAGTCTATTATTTTTTTGTGACGCATGTTCCTTAACTGTGATGCGTAGTCATTATCGGTGACATTTGCTCAATTTCATTGACTTTCATACATTGGTTGTGGTAGATACTCATGTTTTGTGATGATTTATCATTTTCTGTGAGCCTTATAACTTTACTGTGATGCCTAGACATTATCTGTGATTTTTTTGTATTTCCTGTGACTGTTACACATTAAATGTGATATATAACCATTTTCTGTAACATCTTGTTTATTTGTTGTGACAGTTATGTGTTAACTGTGATACTTAATCGTGTTTATAACTTCTGTTAATTATATATGACCATTAGTTTACCTCGTTTCTTTTTAGATATAATTGTGACATACACACATATTTATACATTAAAGCGATTCTAGAAGAAAAGGAGGTGATGGATATTGAAACTTGTCAAAAAGAGCCTGAAATTTTAAAGGCAAGACTTGTTGTTCAACTTTAATGTGAAGGCCGAAAATTGAAGAATCAACAATTATAATTAGATACAGATGATTCAGAATATCTTTTGTATTTTGGAGGCAATGATGTATCAATGATTTGAGTGAAAGTATTAGACAACTCGTGTCACATGACTCTATGTTGGGTATGACTAATTCTCTTGTAATTTTTGATATTTGTGTTAACAATGATGAAATATGTATTTGTGTTAACTTCATTTTAACTTGAAATGTTAGCAATTATCTTATGGTGACAATGATGAAATGTGTATTTATAATAACTTCATGAACATGTCTTCAGTCGAATATAGAATCTGAAACTATAAAGCTTATAGGTGTCATAGTTAATACCAATAAGTCAGAAGAACATCTAATATGTAATATTTAATATATTAATGTCACAATAAAATGACAAAAGTAACATATAATAGACAACAATCCCAAAAGAGTTTGAATTCTGTCAGGAAAACTTTAGTCTTGGATAGATTCAATGCACGTGGCTCGGTTATGTCCTTCGGCGAGACACCTTGAGCATTTAACTGGACATCTATTCTCAGATCGGTTGTTGATATGTCTATTCTTGTTTCTTCCACGTCTCTTTGTGGTCTTTAGGGAAGTATGTCCACTGTTTCATCAGTGACCTCTGGCTTATTATAATTTGGAATAGGAAAGAGAATTGGTTCGTAAAGTTCTCTTAAAAGCTTCAGTCATCATGAACAGATCGCAATAGTGGTACACATCTCTATGCATAAAGTTAATAGCACCACATGCATGTTTACATGGTATTCATAACACATCTCATGCACGACATATGCATGTTTTATATTCCAAATCAACTTCTACTGATTTTTGAAATGATACCTCAAAGATTTTAGCTGTTTAAGAATGCTTCCCTTCTTACAATTTTCTTGCAGAATTTTTTTTATTTTAGGACATAGATAGCTATTCTATTTTGTTGTCATCTCACGTTGAGTATTCATCCTTTCCATAATCTGCATATGAATGTGATCCATTATATTGCAAATAGGAAGTGTTCGCACCACACAAATTTAAATGTTGAAAGATTCAACAACATTGGAACTAATATGACCATATCTGCAACAAATAATTATCATAAGTATCAAACAAAACTTAATGATCACAAATAACAGCTAACTATCACAAAACACGTGTAGGCTTCACAAGTAATCATAATGTATCATGGTTAATAGCAAAGAGTCGCATATAAAAGATAAAGAACACATATAACAGCTAACAGTCACATATAACAAGTACAAGTCACATACAACATCTGAATATCATAAATAACTGCTAGAAATCACAAATAACATGTACCAATCACTAGTAACTGCTAAAGTTCACATATTATAGCTGGTCATCACATATAAAAGTTACGTGTCACATAAAAATGCTATATCACAAAGAAGAGCAAGCATCACAAGTAAAGTTTAATTATCATAGTTAAATAGATAATATCACAATTTTGACATACCTTTTATTAGGAAATATAGAATTTGCCCAATTATTTGGACCATAACTGAGAGCTATTTGGTAAGTTCTATGATCAATCATCCTAATCTCATATAACATAGCTTTAAATTCTTTTTTTTTTGTATAATTGTATGCAAAAAACTCTAATAATTTTAAAATCTGTTGAGTAGTACTTGAGGCAAAACTCATTTCTCTGAACTTCAGTTTGTAATTCTCAACTAGATGAAGTACGCTTCTTGAATGGTAAGCATCTGGAAATATATTTTTCAAAGATCGTTTTATTCCTTTGTCTACGTCTGACAAAATGACTAGAAGATTGGGTGGATTATATAGTTATGTTCGATGGTACAAAATATATTGTAACCCTTGAATAAACCAACTCCAATTTGCTTTATTTTCTTGGTCACAAACACAAAATGCGAGAGGAAATGTGCCTTGATTACTATCATAAGCAATCACACCTACTAAGATCCCTTTGTGACATTTTTTGAGAAAGGTCTCACTTAGAAAGAGTAATGGCCTATATCCCTTGAGAAATCACTTTCTGCATGCACTATAGGAAATAAATAATTGCTTAAATCACCTTTCTTCTTGTTCAATGATGACAACACTGCTTATATTTTGTTTCCATCACCTTCATTTGGTACCTTTAAATGATGATTAAAAGGGCAACTAACTCGTTAAATGATGAATAAAGTGAAGAATAAAATGATTACAGGTCACATGTAAGTTCCAAAGGTCACATAAACAAACAATTAATTTGTTGATGGACTAACCAAGGTAGTAAACTGTATGAATGCCTTGCACAACCAAATATTTGGTCTTTTGCTATCTCCTTAGCATGCCAAATTTTAGAATAATTAACTTTAAAACCATATTAAGAGTGCAATTCCTTTCTAATGTCAGTTGGGGTGATGTGTGGATGACTCTTCATAATTGATTGTAGCATACTAACAATCCATCTTCTCGATGTTGTAGAGTGTCTAGCTGTGTTGTAATGTTGTCCACAAGCATGTTGAGAAATAATTTTTTTATAGCAAAGATCGACACATGGCTCAATAGTGAAGCGTGAAGCACCCACAAGCAATTTGTTTTCTAACTTGAACATGCAACCAGAACAAGTGCGTTTTGGCTCATTATTGACATATTTAAAAGAGAACTTCTTAGCTAGAGAGTAGATATATAAGAGTCATTCAAACTTCTTTTGTGCTTTTAAATTGGTGCCCTTTGTGCCACCATATCGGGTTCCTGTCGAGTCACTTATTATGTCATCTATCATCCACACATGCTCTCCTTGAGGATTGTCATTTGGGATCCTCTCTGATTCTTGAATATGCTTCGATGACTGTGAGTTTAGAGTAGGAAGACTGCAAGTTGAATATAACAAATGATATATATAAGTCACGTATAAAAAATAAAAGCAACTATCAATTTGTATAGGTGACAAATAAAATTAATTCTATAGGTCACATGTAATAAGTAAATATAACAACTTTCATTATAATGTGTATATATAACCTGCAATTAATCTTTTGAATACTTACTTAAACATTATTTCTGTCCCTATAGCATGTGTGGATCCTTCATCTCTTTTAGTAATTGTCATGATTATCATATTTAACCCCATTCTACGATGATAATCTATCATGTTGGGAATATATTGATCTTTTAAAAGCTCAAAGGAGACATTAGGAAACTTCTCGAGAGAATAACTTATCAACAAGCTTTCATACGGTAATTTTAAATTCTCTGCAGAATTGACTTTAATGAGGGTTGCATTGGTGTTTAATGAAATCACACATATTAAAGATTCATCCATTTTTTTTGTTGAAGGAGTTAAGAGGAAAAAGTAAAGAACATTTTGGTTGTTAAAGATCTTACGAGTAAAATCTAAAGAGGGAAGAAGATATGGAAAAAAACATATAAATGACAAGTACAAAATGTTACCCTCATTATTTGGAGGAAACTAATTATGTTTCCCTCCAATTTTATTTCCATCCAAAAATGCCCTCCCATTGCCATTAATGCAAGATCTTCTCTTGATTTTTTTTTCCCCTTCTAGCCCCATTAATGATCACTTCTTATTGGACTGCCAAAAAATGAATAAGACAAAAATAATAATAATCCACAGAGGAGTAAATTGGTCATTTATCTTACGGCATAAGTACTTTATACATTTTTGCACTATGGTGTTTTGGCATTTATACTTTGGTCTAATTGCTTAAATGGGTTTGACTTTTTTTTGGAAAGCTTAACATTTTACAATTTGTTTCTCACAAGCAATTTTCCCTTATTGTTATTATTTTACATTTTATTTTATTTTAGCTTGAATACGAAAAGAATTAGGAGGCCAAGTATTGGTTTTAGCTAAAGAACTGAAGAGAAATAAAGTGAGTGCGCCTAAAATGGGGAGCTTATGTTTGTTGGTTATTTGATCATATATTAACAGTTAACAAATACCTGCGGAAGAAGTTCACAAATAATTTATGAGAAACAAGTTGCATCTGTTACTCTTAATCGTTTAAGAATAATTTATTAAAAATGTATTAAAAGTAAGGAATTTATTTTTTATTTTTTGTCTTTGGATTGTTAAGTTTTTTTGACTATTCATATCAAGATAATCGCCTAAAGTGAAATGAAAATTACACTGAATAATAGTTAAATAAATGATAAATCGACCACAATCGAAATTGAGAAAGGGTTTTATTTTGTGACTGAGAAAGCAATCGCACGAGTCTTCTTAAAAGTGGAGAAGCAAATTGTTGTAGTACATGTAAATAGTTAAATACGAGGTGCATGTGGCGTCCGAAATTGAGGTTGCCGCATACCCAACCTCCAGCACATCTGAACCCTGCCCGCCTTGGTCAAATATTTGGCCTGGCCCACGGTAGGCTGAGCCTGATCCGGCCTGTGACAAAGATGTAGGTCTGACGCTCGCCTGATCGGGCCCATGTAATTTTAGTAGCAAAATTGACAATTCTAATTTTTAAGTGTTTGGGTTGTAATTTTAGTAGTAGTAGAGATTTTTTTTAAACTACATTCAGCATTTTAATGAATATTTATAGTTATTTTGATTTACTACAAACGCTCAAATTATGGTAAATCTTTTGTCCTTTGAGATAATTTCATCGCCAAGTATAGATTTATAGGGTTTAGACTTTTCAGAAAGATAAAATATAGATTTCCCTCTTTAAATTATACATCTAGCAAAAAAAATGAAAAAAAAAAAAGAATGCGGCCAACCCGTGACCTGATCCACTGAGCCAAGTGGGACCTGGTTAGCCTATGCGGGCCATGGGTCGGGATGGATCTAGCCCCAAATCCGG